TTTTTTTTTTATTATTTATATTAAATGCATTTCAATATATAATTTTTGTAGTAAATAGACAAAACAACAAAATGACACATCAAAAGAGAATGACTTTAGCATTCTCCACAACAAAAACAACAACAACAAAAAAAGAGAGAAAACAAACAAAGAAAAGTTAGTCAACATGAATATTCACTGACTATTATTACCTGAGATTATAAATTACACAAAAAAAAACACACTGTCTGATCGTATTGCACAGAAATAAAAGATCAAAAAATTCCCTGAAAATGATTAGTACTTTTGTTTATGTTACAATTTGTTGATGATATGTTGAAGATTGTGGCTCGGTTATTACAGAAACAAGATCGCCTACTGCACGATTTATATCATCAGCCATATGAAAAAGACTGTCAATCGTCATTAAATCTAATAAAGAATATATCGGTTAGTTTTTGTTTTTGAAAATAATCTTAATTCATACTTGTCTGTCGTTCGAGATTTCGATCTACTGAACGTCGTAAATTATGTGAAGGAGACTAAATATATAGAAAATAAAGATAAGAATGTACAAAATGAATGTTTATACTTCTTTAAATAATAATTGTTTCGATCGTTTTAATTGTTTTTCAAGTTGTTTATTATGTTCTTCAAGAATTATCATTCGTTGTTCTAATTTTGTTTTATGTTGTCGTAATTGTTTCGCTTCACGTAAAATTTCACGATTATTATAAACTTCCATTTGATTATCATTTATTTGTATTTGTTCTTGTTGTTCATTGATAATTAAAGATTTTTCCATATGTTCTTGACAAAGACGTTCATATTCATTTTGTAATAAACGATTTTCATCTTCAAGATCACGTATTATTGCTTCTAATTCATTTCGTTGATCATTATCAAGTGAAGTTGAACGTGTCAATAATTCATGAGCAGCAATACGAGGCTAGAAATAGATAAATTTGTAATTATCCAATCTCGATAGAAATAATTCTTTTAAAATTACTAAAACTATCGTTTAGTTGTGAGAATATACTGAACGCAGATTATAAAAAACCGACTGGCTCAATGAGGGTGAGGGCAAAGTGTGTGAAGGTGCATACACTATCCAACATCGAAGATTTACTAACAATACGTTTTGACTCCTAAAACGAGCTGCGACATTGTGTCTTAGCGCCGATTGGCTCAACTAAGTATCAGTATTTCTAAACATTGTTAAGATTTTCCTAAGCTATCTGTACTTAATTAATTGTGTAAAAATCCTTTCGTGATGAACTTGGATTTCTATATTTACTGCTAGTCTTTTGTATAGAGTAACTAGAAATGATCAACTTATAATCGAACCGAAGAAGAAAACGTCAATTACGATAACCATGTAAGTCTAATGTCTATTGAGAAATCAAAGTAAACCTTCTTGATTTGATTGAAAAATAAGCGATTATCAGCTATCGGAATCCCAAGATGCATTATGCGTTAACTGAGTTCAATGACTCAAAAGTGCAAAGATTTCATTTTTCTAAAAGTTCCCATTAAAAATATTCTCATACCGATTTATATGTTGCACTATTTAAATTTCTACAATGTTGTGCTATGATACCATGTTCATCATTCCTTAAAAAAAATAAAAATAAATGCAAATTTCTTTGAAATTTGTTATTCACATACGTTCCATTCGAGTAAGAAATTGTTTGTGCGTTTTCGTTGTCGGTTCTAAAGGAAAAAATTCTTTTTAATATAAAATGATTCCTTACAACACAAATATCTATTACTTTAACGATGCTGCTAATGGTAAAGCTAATGTTGGTGATGGTAAACTAAGTTGTTCAACACTTGACATCGTATTATCAAAAACATGTGGCAATGGTAAATAACCAAGTTTAGGTGTTTTTCGTTGTTTAGCCCACAATTTATTTTTAAATATACGAAAAAAATCTCGAATATCTTCTGATGATGTTGTCTAAATACAATAAAAGACATTTTTTTTTATATTGAGTTTCATTTTTAAATAAAAAACAAACTTCAGTATAATATTCTTGTAATGGATGATCCATTTTAAAAAGTTTTGTTTGTTTACCCGAAAAAAAAACAATTTTGACATATGTCACAATTAAAATGTCGTAATGAACGATAACGAAAACCAAGTATAGGATAAATTTTACAAATATTACAACGTGCTTCATGTTTTGCAGCTTCACTTGCTGCTAAGCGATGCATTACAGGTAACCAAACAAGTGATTGTGGTTCAAGTTTAACCCATTCAAGAAAATCATCCGCTGTTATTACATCAGGATTTTGTGCCTTAAAAAATAATTTCAAATTCATTTATTTAATATATTAATTTTCTCTTACATAATCAAAACAACTTTGTACACTTGGTTCAACACTTGATCCACCAAATGCT